CTCTTGGGCCATGCTGACGGCCCTTTCCATCATGTCAGCCGTGGCGTTCCACGTGCCTGGGCTGGAACCCACCTCCATGTCCCTGCCCGTCTTGTGTCCTGGTGTTGGCGCGTGTGACCAGACCTTTGCCTCATTTTTGGGGCTGGCCGATGCACTCCCCTTGAGGGTGTCATTTGTTTCCTTTGCCATGCTCGTTTTTCTCCCTTTGTTCCCTCCAAGACCGCAGGCTGAGGCGCTGGCTAAGCTCGGCGCCGGTAAGCTAAGGCTCGGCGCCGGTGGACTAAGGCTCTGCGCCGGGAAGCTAAGGCTCGGTGCCGGTAAGCTAAGGCAGTCAGAGCCTGCGCCGCGAAAGGTTCCTCTCGGCTGCGTCTGGGTTGCCTGTAGCCAGGAGGGGTATTTATTTTAGGAATTTTTCCGTTTTTTTTTGGATTTTTTTTCGCTTTTGGCTTCTTGGCTTCTTGGCTTCTTGGCTTCTTGGCTTCTTGGCTTCTTGGCTTCTTGGCTTCTTGGCTTCTTGGCTTCTCGGCTTCTTGGCTTCTTGGCTTTTCGGCTTCTTGGCTTCTCGGCTTCTCGGCTTCTCGGCTTCTGGGCTTCTTGGCTTCTTGGCTTCTTGGCTTCTTGGCTTCTTGGCTTTTCGGCTTCTTGGCTTCTCGGCTTCTGGGCTTCTAGGCTTTTCGGCTTTTTGCTGGTTTATGCAGCTTTTGGTGGCTTTTTGGCTTTTCGCATCCTCTTCGGCAGGTGGCGTTTTTCCGACATCATGGGGGGCGGCCACGCCATCCGCGCCCCCCCCAACCCCCCCTCGTGGCGTCGCCGCAACCGCTACCCCCCGCTACTTTTTAGACTTTTTGCAGAGATTTAATTGCACCCCTATTCAAATCATCACTTCTGCAAACAACATCGTGGGGGGGGCTGCCGCCCCCGCCAACCCCCCCGCTACTTTTATATTTTTTGTCAGGGATTGACATGCCCTCCTGCTTGAATCATCATTTCTTTGACCCCGTCACACGATTTGTGGGTGATGCTAGGGATGTTGGTGGGACATGCGGGGTATATTTCGCGAGAACATGCTGTAAAATACGACACTTTACTGGCCCGGCAGAGATTGAATTGCACCCCTGTTTGAATCATCACTTTTTCGAGCATCCAATTTCGCGAGAAAATGCTGCAAAATACGACAATTTAGGTAATCTGTGTAGTCCGTGTATGTCTGTATGTATGCATTTCTTCGAACATCATAGGGGAAGCCACCCCCGCCAACCCTCCCGCTGCCTTTTAAATTCTATCACACACTTTCTTGAATCATTGCACCCCTACTTGAATCACCACTTCTTCCGACATGGGGGGGCTGCCCCCCCCCCCCCAACCCCCCCACTACGTTTTAGATTTTCTACAGAGATTTAATTAATTGCACCCCTAGTTGAATCATCAATTCTTCCAACCCCCCCACTACTTTTTAGACTTTTTGCAGAGATTTAAGTGCACCCCTGTTCGAATCATCACTACCCCGCTCTGTTTTTCTTAATTGTTTTTTTGTATTTTTTTTGCTGGGATTGAAATGCCCTCCTGTTTGAAGCATCATTGTTTTGACCCCGTCAACCCGCCAGCTACATTTTTGGATTTTGTTACCCACGATTTGTTGGTGATGCTAGGGATGTTGGTCGGACATGCGGGGGATGTTGAAAACGATGCTGGGGATGTTGACGAGCTAGTGTAAAATGCGTCAATTTCGCGAGAAAATGCTGTAAAATACGACAATTCGCTGGCCCGGACGAAAAACGAAAAAAAAACCCAAAACAAAACGAAAAAAAATCCCAAAATAAATCCGCACCCCTGTAGCCATCCTTCAGGGGTTGGGGTTTCTTTGACTCTATGGTCAGGTTTGAGCAGGCATCTGTAGTGCCCGTCTTTGAGCGCGAGACACACTGGTTCCTTATGCTTCTTGCTGCCGCATTGCAACAGGTACCTTTGCCAGTAGGCCTCGTTGCTTTGCCACTTGAAGACTATTAGGTCTCTTTCCAGTTTTTCGGCTAGGGCCTGCAGTATCATGCCATCGGCATAGTAGCCTTTCTTTGCTGCCAAGGTGCAGTACTCCTGGAAGTTTTTTGGCGCCTCAGCTTGCCCCGCTCTTTGCTGCGGGGTCTCATTGGGGTCAGTCGCCCACTGCTCTCTGTAGCTGCGGTTGGACTTAAGTCTGCCCAGCGCCAGTACCCTTAGGTTGGCTGCCTCGTGTACAACTTTGCTTTCCTCCAGGGATTTGCCCGTTATCTGGGCAATGCTGAGGGCTATGCTCCTGAAAGCACAGTCCCCGACGCCGCCCCCATCTTTGAGGGTCCAGTCCGGCAGATCCTCCAGAAGCACCGTGTCCGGTTCCCTAAATGCCGGCATCTTTTTCTCCGCTCTTCTGGGTGATTTCTCTCTTTTGTCCTCATCCATATGTTGGGTGGTTTCCGTGGGGGTGTCCTCTACCGTGAGGGCCACTTGGCTGTGGCACCCATCCTTAGTCGGGTGTTCCTCCAAACTTTCATCTTCGGGCTTGGGGGGTCCGTCCGTCCATTTCTTTTGGGGTCCCTTTAACCTGACCACTTCCGGGTTGGCCCGCTTGCGCCCGTTTTCGGGGGAGAGCGTGACATGACACTCAGCGTCCTCATCCACGTAGTGCCAGAACACCTTGTCTTCCCCTGGGCTTGGTGGGGGGGTGGCTTTGAGCAGCCATTCTGGGCCTTGGCCTCTGACTTTGCCTTTTCGTCTGGTCAGGACGACCTCGGTCCAGTTCTCCTCTTTCAGGAAAACTTGGACATCCTCCTCGGTCCAGTGTCTTGGTCCGTCCCTTAAACACCAGATTTTCGTCCCGTTTTTGGGGTAGTCGGCCCGGTTCCCGTTGACCAGACCCAGGTCCGCCCCTCCACCTTGTCTCAAAGCAATAGGCAGCTGCTTCTGTGAAAGAAGTCCAGACATCAATGAGTTCCTCATCTAAACCAGGTGACTTTTTCCGCCGTACGATGAGCTGCTTGGCTTGGCAGTCATCGGTAAATTTAGGGTCTTTGCGGTACTGCTGGTATGATGGTTGACGCCGTTGGACGATCCGGAGACTTCGAGACAATATGTCAACGGAACGCACAGAGACACTGCGACGCGCTTCCTGAAAAATCAGATCAGCAAAGAGAAAGACTGATCAGTGCTCCAGTTGGCACACATGAGAGGGGTTTCATGGGAACCGAAGATGAGGAGACGGGGTCCTCGAAGATCATGACTCGTTCGCAGTCAGAACGGTGTCAGGGCGAAACTTAAACTAGGAAGAAGATCAGGAAAGTCAAAAGGCAAAAAAGGACTCGCCGACACACCCTTCCAAATCATCAACACAGACGGCAAGGCCAACGCGGCCAACGAACATTCGGTGAGTTGACTTTCATTGATCACTGTCAAGAACCCTCGTCGTGTTTGTCATGTTGGAGAGAGGCAACGTTTGTCACTGCGGACGGTGTTCAGGAACTATTTCGGCCAGCGCCGCTTGCCGCCAGAACAGTCGTCGGGGATCAGACCTTCATGACCGCGCGTGGGAACATTTCTATCAGCCCCTCGACATGACACAATCTTGTTGGGACGGAACACACATGGCCGAACCGAGTGGAAACAGAACAGCAGTACGACTCGCGAAGGCGCAGCAAGATCATGCTGAAGTCCACCAGACGAGGAAAAGCACCTGCTACGCTCAAAAAAGGGGCGCTTGTCAAGGCCGCTGCAACACTCAGAAATCAGACCATCACCTACGGGGGTGTAACATAAGTGGAGCTTGTATTCAGAAGAAGACCAGCAGATCTCACTCCTGCGGCACCGACCCAATTGTCCATCAACAAGACGGATGAGGAATTGACGGCAACTCGCACCGAGCAGTTGTCGCAACAGGCTTTTCAGGAAGCCCATCAGCCGGAAGACATCATAAGAGACCTTGCCATAGACACAGACCTTGCTGCTCTTGCTCCCAGCACGTATTCATACAACTAACTTCCCAGAAGCTCACTCATCACATCATCAGGGTTCCTGCTGAGAAACAGACCCAGAGACTGCTACCACAGTGTGTATCTCCTCCTCAGGTGCCCTGGTACGTAACACACCCCCTCCGTGGCACAAGGGCCATTGCAAATTTTCTCGCGGGAAACTGGCCCCAGAGCTCTTCCAGGCGCTTGGAACCGTGGCCTCTTGTGACCAACGGCCGCAAAATTCCTGCCAAAATGAGCGAAGCACTACCCACACCAACATCAAGAGTCAACTCCAAAATACACCCTACACACCCCGAATTACGTCAGGAAGACGAGTCGAAGTCGACACCTGGCCTGTTCGGGGGAGGATCTCGGCCTTCTAAAAGAAACGCCCCCGTGGTTTCAATTCTGGCGGGCAAGATGCTGATTCTGTCCCTGCGTGCCTCCTGAGGTGATCAGTGCAATTTTTTTGAAGGACACCTTGGACGCTGCGCAGAACGATGCGGAGCAGCTTGTTGTTGATAGGCCTCTTGCCCGCACCAGCAATTTCTGAATTGCGAGTTGGGTTTGACCATTGAGTTTGCCACGCAATGAGCAAAGGTTGAAGAAGAAGGCTCAGTATGTCCAGAAGCTGGAGGAAGTTTTCCGAGCGATTGATTCTTCCTCCGATGGCATGGTCACAGAGGAGAAATTGACGCAAGTCCTCTCAAATCCCAAAGTGGCAGCTTATTTCCAGACTCTCGACGTCGACGTCGTCGACAGCACTGCCGCTTTGGCGTTGACTTGTCACCTGAGGGGTGAACTGTCTAGGGTTTTTTCACCACGCAAAATCTTTTCCCAAGCCACAGGCTGAAGGGTGAAATTTGCTCAGCTTGTTCCAACGTGATGCTGCAAGTGCGCGAGGCTTTGTTTCACCTTCTCGACAATGGTGACGGAGAAATTACCTTGGACGAGTTCATAGAAGGCATATTGCGGTGCAAAGGTCATGCGCCTCGGCCGATGAAGGCTTTGGATGCACGCATCCTGGGGATTGAATCCGCCCAGCCGTGCTTGAGCAAAGCATGCGCATTGCTTTTGCAGATTGGCTAATCGGACGGAACCAACTTGCGAGTTTCATGCATATAACATCCATGACACGTTGCGCTCGTTGGCATGCCCTGACGAATTCTATGAGCGCATGCCTCAAGCCTGCGACGTCGCAAGCTGCCCCGACCATGGTCGGACCACCGCCTTCATTATTTTCCGTGGTCTATGTTTTGGACAAAACCGTCGCCCAGTTAAACCCAACACTATTTATTGTCTCTTGCCAGGACAGTTTGTTTTTCAAAGGGTATCCGGGACCAATAGCAAAAGCGCAGACGTTGTGACATTGTGTTTGCACAAAACCTTGGTGAGGCCCTCGCGACCATCCATACAAACCAACTTTTGATCAATACGCAAATATGTTCACAGTCGTTTTCTCGGTAGGAAAGGCATTCTTCAACATGTTTCTACATATGCATGCATACGGGCCCTCTAGGCGCGTAATTATTTTGGGGCAAAACGTCATCACATGGCTTGCCATAAGAGAAGAGTCTTGTGACTGCTCACCCTGCCACCATCCATGACATGACCATTTTGCGGATCTTGCTGTTTGAGCACAGTTGGGAAAAACTAGATGGCACGGGTCCCCCATTGTTTCCCTCCCAACACACATCAAATTCACTGCATTGATGGATTTGATGGAAGGCAGTGCCTCCGGCTTCTGGGGTGGTTTTTAAGCAAATGAAAGGGTTTACACAAAAAGGGAACTGCATGTACTTTGCGGAGGCAATCCTGGTTGGGGGCGTAGGCTCGCGTAGGCTTCAGCGCGTAGGCTGTTATGTCACCCCTCGCGTAGGCTTGTAGCGTAGGCGTTTGTTGAACAAATCATGACTGTTTGCCACGTATGACGGAATTTGCTTCTTTTGCCTTCCTTCTGTTTGTTCTGCAGTCTTCGCGTGGGCTCCGCGTAGGCCCTGCGTAGGCATTCGCGTAGGCTTTCAAGGCATTTTGGGTACGTATACTGTTTCTAGCAGCCAGATCCTTGGACAGATGTGGGATTCTCACTTGTACTGCATTTCTGGTCTTAGAGCCGGAGCTGCCAAAACTGCACTTGTACTGAGAAGTTGCGATTTTCCAGCTGGAGCTGCCACAGTGCACTTCGACACTTGAACTCAACATGTGCCCGCGTAGGCATCTGCGTAGGCACCTGGAAGCTGACTTGTGCTCGCATAGGTAGGCTTGCGTAGGCCTTCGCGTAAGCGTGCAAGTAGCGTATAGGCCAACAAAAACACTGCTCAGGTGGTGGCACCACTTCAGGGAGGTACGTTTCAACCGGACCGAGCCATTGTTGGCTTGCTTAGGGCAACCCACTCCGGTCATCTTTGAGTAGGAAGGGCTGCGCAGGAATGCGCCTCAAGCGTGTTTTCTGAGCAAATGTCTCTGAGCAAGTAAGCCTCCCAAATTCTCTGAGCAGCTTCCCTGTCTGAGTTTGTCTGCGCAAGTTCTCGGCTCAAACTTGTCCGCGTAAGTTATCGATGCAAGTTCTCTGCGCACGAGTTCTCAAATGAATATCTCTGTGAGAGTGCTCTGTGCAGGTGCTCTGCGCAGGTGCTCTGTGCAAGTGCTCTGGGGTGCCCTGTGCTATATCTCTCCAAGCGGTTCGGCGGAAGTTTTTCGCACGCGTCGCTCTCAATGCAACGGGCCGTTCTCCACGCAAGTGCCGCCACCAGTTGTTACCACGCCGATCCTTGCAGGGTTTCGCAGGCAAAACGTAAAGAAATCCGGAGCCTTTGCACATAAACCATGCCAGCATACTCCTGCAAGCGTGCTGGCAAGTTTGCTCGCGCAAGTGCGCTGGTGCGAGTTTGCTTGCGTGTGTTCCTGCAAGTGTGTTCGTGCGAGATCGTGCGAGTTTGCTCGTGCAAATGTGACCGTACAAGCGTGCTTGCGCAAGTGTGGTTTGCTCGCGCGAGTGTTTTCGTGCGAGTTTGTTCGTTCTTGTGTGCGCCTGCAGGTGTACGTGTGCAAGTGGGCGGGCGGTGTTTGCCTTCACCCAACTCACATTTCCAAGGGCCACCTCAAGATTTGGAAAAAAACGCAGAGGTTGCAACCCACGGTACGCGCAGTCAAGCCAATCTCGCAGGCACGGGCCATCGACCAGGTGGCCATGCGCTCGGAGCTGCGGCAGTTGGATGCGAAGCTTTCAAGGCGCGGACAACCCTTTTTTTTCCAGCGGATGTGGAAGCCCTGAGGAGATTCCAAGAAGTTTTGCTGGAGGAATGGCCACTTCTGGCAATGTTCATTCCTTGCACGTGCTGAAAGGCAGCGTGATTTGCAGTAGCCGGCGCCGTACCAACTCTGGACAGGAGCAAGCCTGGATTACTGCATGTCTGCAAGCATGAGTTCGCAGACACACCTTCATCCCAAGAGATGCATTTCAACATGCTGTTGTTTTTGCTTCTCCTTTCGCACAGCCTCCTTATCCCCCTTACATTCAGTTCGATGGCGTGATTGTGAGCACTGCGGTTCCCATGGGTTTCTTGACACTATGCGGGATCCCTTGTGTTCAGTGTTCTGGTTCTTCGGTTCTCTGCGAGGTTCCCTGCGTTTTGCCTGTACTGTCCGTGTTGACTATGGACATCTGCAGCAGGATGATTAAACCTGTTGTCTCGAGTGGTGAGGCTACTTGGCTATGACAGACGCCAAGGTACACGATCTAAAGACCTGGCTACATTTCCTTGCACATTCCAGGAGCTCAGATAGGTTCTTAGCGATGCGCGTGGCTGCCATTCACGCAATGCCAGGCTGAGCTTCCGCCTCAAGGAGGCAGGCATCATCAAGAGCAGCGGCAAAGCCAAGGTGAATGGCAGAATGATCAGCGCATAACGGCCTAACTTTCACTCGGCAAGCGGGGGCTGCAACCGAACAGAGTGCCTACTGGTCCAAAGCTCGAGTGAAGTTACGGTGTGTGGGTTCTTTTCGCCTCTTGCTTGCGCATGAGGGCTAGCAGGCCCCCTTTTGCCAGAAGGCAGCCACGGTGTCCTCAGACGAGGCACGAAGAAAGTGGCCGCAGTCATTCTGCAACCGTGTCATGTTGCAGGAGCCGTCCACGGACCACACAAAGTGTGAAATGTTTCCAGCGAGCGGCTTTCGACCAGACACTTCTGGCGATAGCTGTTGACGCGTGGCTCTTCTGGCGATGTTGCATACTCTAAGCATCTCTAAGCTCTAGTGGGTACCACCAGGATCCACCAGGTTGTTCTCATGCCGTAGCACAGGCTTCCCACAGCGCAGGGTTAACTATAATTGCTGGCCAGGGAGAGTTCAACAGAATCGCCTCCGGATTGACTGTTTCGATGCAGACCCCTTGTTAGACCCTGCTTGCTCCCACCCAGGTTCGCTTACATTGTTCGGCAGCTGAAGCCTTTAAAAAGAAGGGCCAGCTTTGAGTTTCAAGGGGATGGTACGCTACCAGGGCCTTAGCAAGGTGAGCAGGATCCCGGCTTGCCTCACTGTTGCTCGGGGGCCTTCACAAATCAGAAGTAAAAGCGCAGACTTGTGGGTAGCTGGCTGCGATTGGGCAAGCAAATCTGTTCAAGCTGCACGTGGAGCTGTTCTTTAACAGGCATAGGCACAGGCTGCCCGCCGTTTGAACCTGGCTCCCAGTTTCACCGTCAGAAGCTTTGAATGGCTGGGGCCATGCTCAACCGCATTCAGTTGCGATGAGGTCGTAAGATTGCCCCTTATGCAAAATCCCATGGAACTCCAACCACTTTTCAAGGGCCCGGATCGGAATGTAGTTGTCACAGAGGTGTGGTGGAGGAATGGTCAGAGCAGGTAGCTGACAGTGGAGCGATGGGCCCTGTCATCCTTGTCCTTGAAGCTTATGTGCAAGAAAAAACTTGCGATTCGGGAGGCGGCGCGAGGGGGGCATTGCAACCTGACTGCTTGTGAATTCACAAAGCGCAAGTAAACCAACACGCACACGGATCCGCCTCACAGAATCAGACACCGCTTAAGCCCTCACAACTAGCTTGACTGCAAGCAATGAATGCATGGAGGTGTCCCTTACAATCTTTTGCGCGCGTCTAGCTCCTGGGCCCACTTGTCTAGGAGGGGGACATCCCAAAACAACTGCATTTTCCCTCGTCCTTTGGAGACTGCCTCACTTCAATTGGGGCGGCAGAGAAAAAGGAAGTAGAGCCTTCCGCCACCCTTGCCTTTTTGCCGCCCAGAGGGAAAAAGCAAGGCGACATTTTGGGTTTGCCCACCGAACCCACCTTAAGCTCGGTTATTTGTTTATGAATGACACGAGAAATGATCGGCGAGGGGAACCTTAGTATCTGACAGCACCAAGCGAGCGGTTCAGTTCCGCAGTGCGTTGGCCCAAGCAGAAGGCAAATCAGGCACGCAATTGATGGGCATGCGACAAGCCAAAACCATATCATAAATAAAGATCTCCATCAGTGGAGCAAGCTTGCATGAGCTCTGAACCCTTTCGACACTTTGCTATAGTTGGAGGGTGAAGGCACCTATCCGTGAGCAGTTTTTCATGCCTTAACCGGCTTGCAAGGGCTAAACCCCTTCCCTCTTGCCACATGACCTATATCTGAGCTTTCAACCACAAGACCGAAGGACCGCCAATGCGCCGTGCAGGCTGCAGCACGTTGCTGGTTCTGGGGGGGGTTCTTGACGCCCTCCAAGAACGACCAAGAATGTCTTTCAGCAATCGCGTCTTTTCAAAAGCAGCCGCGGCCAAGCAAGAAAGGCCTAGGCCTGTCACATTGCAATCTGAAAGGAACCCCACTGGCAAGCAATTTTCAACGCGCTTTCATGTGCCACTTCTTCCTGAGCCACCGCCGCCAGCACCGTTGCCGCAAACCTTTACTGTATCCACCACGCCTACCGACTGGTAAGCACACCCGCTCAAGCTCGCCTGGCACTGTCCGCCAAGAAGTAGCACGTTCGCTCAAGCGCGTCGGTTTACCACTGCATCCACAAGGATCCCGCTCAAATGCGCCTACTCTGCACATACGCCTGCCAAAAGACAAATTATACCCGTGCAAGTGCGCCCGCTCAGCATTGTATCCGTGCCTGCTTTTTAATCCACTGACTGCTGCTGACCTCACAGGCCAACATGGGCCTCTATTTGACTATGCGGTCGACCTTTGTAGTGACCGTGCTTAGACTATCCTGGGCACAATAAACCCCCCCGGGCGCGTATAGCAAAAACATCCTGCACGGAGTGGGGACATGCATTTGCTCACGCAATTGGCCTTCGACGCCAGTAGCCCGCGCTGGCTTTCACCATGCAAGGCTGGAAACGGCTGAGCGCGATTCTGTAATTGGGCTTGCCCAATATGAGCAGCATGATCTCTGGCTTGAGCAGCGCAAGCATTGCCCCTCGTTCTTGCAGCGTGGGTTTGGGCCGGCTGCATGTGTACGTTTTGGGGCAGCCGGCAAGGGATCTGGAGGAAGCGGTGCACGTAGAGAGAATATGTCATCTTGCTGCCTCCGAGGCGGCACCACAACCTATTTCATTTGTTATAGTGAGTATCAATCAGTTAGCACACGGCATTCCAACGTTGAGTGCTAACTGTTTGGGCGCTTGCGCAGCGTTTTTTCCCAAGCCGTGGTTGAGGCCCAACAGTTAGCACTCCAACTAGTCTGGCAGTCGGATTGTTCAAGGTCTTTGAAATAAGGCTTGGCATCAAAATAGCTTTACATGGGCATTGGAAGGAAGGACGGAAGGAAGCACGGAAGCGAAGGAAGCGAAGGAAGCGAAGGAAGCAAGGAAGCAAAGGAAGCAAGGAAGGAAGGAAGGAAGGAAGGAAGGAAGGAAGGAAGGAAGGAAGGAAGGAAGGAAGGAAGGAAGGAAGGAAGGAAGGAAGCAAGGAAGCAAGGAAGCAAGGAAGCAAGGAAGCAAGGAAGCAAGGAAGCAAGGAAGCAAGGAAGCAAGGAAGCAAGGAAGCAAGGAAGCAAGGAAGCAAGGAAGCAAGGAAGCAAGGAAGCAAGGAAGCAAGGAAGCAAGGAAGCAAGGGAAGCAAGGAAGAAGCAAGGAAGCAAGGAAGCAAGGAAGCAAGGAAGCAAGGAAGCAAGGAAGCAAGGAAGCGAAGCAAAGCGAAGCAAGGAAGCAAGGGAAGCAAGGGAAGCAAAGGCCAAAGCAAAGGAAGCAAAGGAAGCAAAGGAAGCAAAGGAAGCAAAGAAACAAAGAAGCAAAGGAAGCAAAGGAAGGAAGGAAGGAAGGAAGGAAGGAAGGAAGGAAGGAAGGAAGGAAGGAAGGAAGGAAGGAAGGAAGGCAGGACGAGACTCAGAGCTGCGCAGGGTGCTGCAGAGTTGCGCAGGGTGCTGTTGCAGGTTGCCATGCCAGAATCATCATTACTTCGAAACATCCTGGGGGGGGGGGTGCCGCAGTTGCGCCGATGGATGCACCTAAGGGAGAAGCGCGCCCTTCGCCGAATAATGGGGGTGCATGCCACGCACTAAAACTGCTGCGTTGCCATTTCAGTGAGGGGCAAAGACTGTAGTTAGGAGGAGCGCATTGGTGATCCAAAGAGTCCTGGCTCACACCAGCTGAGAAGGCGCTAGGGTCTGGCGTGTGCTAACTGTAAGTCAGACGTTTGGCCGGGGTCCCGAGCGTGTCTGCTTGGCAAAAACTGTAGGAGAAGCGCGTTGGCAAGCGTGATGCGAACACTCCTGGCTGACACGGCCAAAGGAGGCGCAAGCGGGTCTGGCGTGTGCTAACTGTATCGCACCCGTGCTCGCCCCAAGTGGGATCCCGAGCGGGCTAGCGAGCCTGGCCGTGTTGGTCCTTTCAGCCGCCTTCGAGTTGCATCCATAGTAGTTGGCCCGAGTGGTCCTTATCTGCGCCTTGGCGCCACGCACGTGTTATCCCGACTGTTGGTCCTCACCAGCTCCTTTGCGCAGCGTCTGTGCTCGGCCCGAGCAGGATCCCAAGCCTCTCTGCGCGGCAAAACTTCGAGCGTGTTTGTGGGCTTTCAAGAGTAAAGCCAGAGCACGGTGTTTTTAAACAGGATGATGGACTTGTCTTTTCTCGCGGGTAAAGCTTCCATACGGTGTCCTAGCCCAGCTTGAGTTCGGGACTAATGCGTTTGCGTGCAACATGATGCAACACTCGGACAAAGCAAGCTTCTTCATAATGTCAGTCGTTTACTACGGGCGCGCTTTCAAGTCGCAGGAGGCATTGCTTTAGCTGTGGAGAAGCAGGCTTTTAGGGGCGCAGTTGGTCTGGCGTGTGCTAACTGAATGGCTTACGCAAGAGTGACGCCTTTGCGTGGCATCCGCGTTTGCCCCGAGCCGGATCCCGAGCGGGAACCCGAGCGTGGCTTCGCTTGCCTTTGCAAGGCCCGAGCGGGATCCCGAGCGGGCTAGCGAGCCTGGCCGCTTTGGTCCTTGCAGGCGCCTGCGCGTTGCATTACACTCCCGAGCGTGACGGTGTTGGTCCTTATCTGCGCCTTGGCACGGCGCACGTGTTTGGCCCGAGCGGGATCCCGAGCGTGTCTGCTTTGGTCCTTTCCAGCGCCTTTGCCCGGCATCTGTGCTCGGCCCGAGCGGGATCCCAAGACTGTTTGCGGGCGCGGCCCCGGCAAAACTTCGAGCGTATTTGTGGGCTTTGAAGAGTAAAATCGGCGAATTGTCTTTTTCTTGCGGGTAAAGCTTTTACACGGGCCCAACTGTCCGCTGCGATAATGCGTTTGCGTTTGCATGCAACATGATGCAACACTCGGACAACGCGAGCTTCTTGATGATGTCGTTGATTTTTGCTACGGGCGTCCTTTCAAGTCGCAAGAAGCATTGCTTTAGGGGTGGAGTTGCCAGGCTTTTATAGGGGCCCGTTGGTTGTGAATCCCAAAGCCAAATGCAATTGTCAAGACAGCTATTGCAGTAGAGAAGCGGGTTGGCAGGCGTGATGCAAAGAGCCCTAGCTGACACGGCCAAACGAGGCGCAAGAGGGTCTGGCGTGTGCTAACTGTATGGCTTCCGCAAGAGTGACTCCTTTGCGTGGCAGCCCCGAGCGGGATCCCGAGCGGGATCCCGAGCGGGATCCCGAGCGTGGCTTCGCTTGCCTTTGCTTATTCCTTGCGTGGCACCCGTGCTCGGCCCGAGCGGGATCCCGAGCGGGCAAGCGAGCCTGGCCGCTTTGGTCCTTGCAGGCGCCTGCGCGTTGCATCCATAGCTGGCCCGAGTGGACTCCCGAGCGTGACGGTGTTGGTCCTTATCTGCGCCTTGGCACGGGTTTGGCCCGAGCATGATCCCGAGCGTGTCTGCTTTGGTCCTTACCAGCGCCTTTGTGCGGCATCTGTGCTCGGCCCGAGCGGGATCCCAAGCCTGTTGGCGCGGCCCCGGCAAAACTTCGAGCGTATTTGTGGGCTTTGAAGAGTAAAATCAGAGCATGGTGCTTCTTCAGGATTATGGACTTGTCGTTTTCCTGCGGGTAAAGCTTTTACACAGGCCCAACTGTCCGCTGCGATAATGCGTTTGCGTTTGGACGCAACATGATGCAACACTCGGACAACGCGGGCTTCTTGATGATGTCGTTGATGTTTGCTTGCCAGGCTTTTATAGGGGCCCGTTGTTTGTGAATCCCAAAGCCAAAGTCAATTGTCAAGACAGCTATTGCAGTAGAGAAGCGGGTTGGCAGGCGTGATGCAAAGAGCCCTGGCTGACACGGCCAAACGAGGCGCAAGAGGGTCTGGCGTGTGCTAACTGTATGGCTTCCGCAAGAGGGTCTGCCTTTGCGTGGCATCCGCGCTCGCCCCGGAAATCCCGAGCGGTGCTTCGCGCGGCATCCGTGCTCGGCCCGAGCGGGATCCCGAGCGGGCTAGCGAGCCTGGCCGTTTTGGTCCTTTCAGCCGCCTGCGCGTTACCAGCGCCTTGCGCGGCGTCTGTGCTCGGCCCGAGCGGGATCCCAAGCCTGTTGGCGCGGCCCCGGCAAAACTTCGAGCGTATTTGTGAGCTTTCAAGAGTGAAACCAGAGCACGATATTTCTTCAGGATTATGGACTTGTCGTTTTCTTGCTGGTAAGGCTGTTACACAGTGTCCTAGCCCAGCTTGAGTTCGGGACTTGATGGCCCAACTGTTCCGCTACGATAATGCATTTGCATTTGGATGCAAAATGGTGCAACACTCCGACAATGCGAGCTTCTTGATAATGTCGTGTATTTTTGCTACGGGCGCCCTTTCAAGTCGCAGGAAGCATTGCTTTAGGGGTGGAGTTGTCAGGCTTTTAGGGGTGGAGTTAAGGCTGCCCGTTCTTTGTATTTCCGAAAGCCGAATTCAATTTTCAAGACAGCTGGGCTGCCGTTGCAGGAAACGGCGAGTACTGCAGGAGAAGCGCGTTGGCAAGCGTAATGCGAAGAGTCCTGGCTGACACGGCCAAACGAGGCGCAAGAGAATCTGGCGTGTGCTAACTGTATGGCTTCCGCAAGTGACACCTTTGCGTGGCAGCCCCGAGCGGGATCCCGAGCGGGATCCCGAGCGGGATCCTGAGCGTGGCTTCGCTTGCCTTTGCTTATTCCTTGCGTGGCACCCGTGCTCGGCCCGAGCGGGATCCCGAGCGGGCAAGCGAGCCTGGCCGCTTTGGTCCTTGCAGGCGCCTGCGCGTTGCATCCATAGCTGGCCCGAGTGGACTCCCC